TGGATATATAGCGCTTGAGCGTCTTTCTCAGTTCTTTTCTTTCTTTCTCCACTCCCTCTCCCCTCCACGCTTATATAGTAATGTAGTATAGTTGTTATGTACACTGTAGACATAATGTACACCCTTCTCGTCGTATTTACAGTAGGTATGCCGTAGGTATAATCATACGTAGTTTTACATTACTTAGTTTTGGCATGATACACTGTACTTGCTCTCAAATACACGAATAACATTGATTCGTCCTTACAAAACGAAAGTAACGTACACAGATGATGTAGTTAATTGATAACAACCCATGGCGCGTCTTTGACGCGTATACCCTCGATACACGGTGTGTCTTTGACCCGCCTTTGTAATCCCTTGAGCCTAGAAGCTGACTCTAGAACCCATGGTGTGTCTTTGACCCGCGAACTCTCGAGACGCGGCACATCTGTGTATCCTTCCCCGCTTCATTGTAACCCCCAATCATCGCAACATTTTTTTAAAAGACAGGAAGTACGTTCGCCGAACCATCCCTCCCATTCCCACCATGTCTTCGTCCAATGCACCCACCCAACCTCACAAGCGCACTGCTTCTGAACGTTCCTCGACCAATGGTGACCCTTTACTGTGGAGCCAAACCCGTAAGACCCGCCAAACCCGCCAAACCCACCAGAACCCATACCCTTACCCGCAGAAACCCGTACCCGTGGTTGAGGGTATGGGTTTCCAGGGGTAGGGGTACGGGTAAGGCCGAAAGTACCCGGGGGTTACCTGTGACAATGCCTATTCCTAGTACTCATGGTTATACATCACTGAAGAGAGAATGGGATGATCATATGGGTATTTCTGGGTCAAGCTGGGAGCTTACAGTGACCAGCTTTCCAGATAGGAAATTATTTGGGGCCAAATTTTTTCTTTCTTTTATTCATCTTCTTTGCTTTGACTTTTGGTCTTATTTTATCCTGATATTCACTCTGGGGGGCAAGAGGATTTCTATTCTATTATTCTTCCCCACCATTGTTTTCCTTACATGCCCTCTGGACATTGGGGGGCTTTGTGATATAGGATTGGAAGGGAATGCCCAGAGGCCATAGTCAAACAGTGGTATATAGCTAGATTTGGATATCTTACATAATATATTGATCTTTTGTCTTGAACCACCATCTTGTCAGCAGTCTTGCCATCCTCTTGCACTACATGTAGTGCTTTGTATATCTGTACTTCCTACAGTATGCATAATCATGTTGGGCCAGCTGAGTATCTTGCAACTGCTCATTGCTCACTCATGGGTGTTGATCCCAGATCCACCCATTCTTGCCTCCTCCTTCCCTCTTGGCTTCAGCTATGCGAGAAGTTCAGAGTGAACACTTCACACTCATCTGTGGTGATTTTAGGCCAGATACAGTCTGTCTGGACAAATTTTGGGGAAAAATAGGCTAGATACTGATGTCCAGACAAATTTCAGAAAATTTTGGTGAGGCCAGGTGCAATCCGGACAAATTGGCTCAACCTCTGTCCAGACAAAAGGTGCTTTTTCAGGATCAGGCCTCTCCTACCATTGCCTGGGGTCCTCCCCTTGGGTCACCACAACCCACAACCCTCATCGACCACCCACAACCAGCCCAGTATGCCCCAACACTATAAGAACAATGTGGCAACGCCATGTCACCAGCCCTGGCAAGAAAACGACTCTGCCACAATGACACAACAATGAGGACAGTGACAACACCGTGTGCCAACCCAGGTGAGCTAACACAACCCCTGCCGGCCATTCCTTTAGTTATACAACATCCAGGTGCCATGTCGCTGACAGCGACATGGCAACCAAGCGACGAACAACAACCAATTTGTTGTTCATCATCCATACTGACACAACACAACGACAGTGCAACAACAACATGGGACAACGACTACTCAACGAGAATACGGAACTATGAGGCGACTACGAGACAGGACAACCAGCTGACAACAACCCACGATCACAAGACGACGAAGACTCGACGACGACACAACTTCGTCTAGACGGTGACAATGCATACTGTCGTCACTGCCTACAGTAGAACAGTTAAGTACTATTACTCCACTCCCCCTCTCATTTTCTAACACGAGAACCAGGGGCCACATCGCAGCTACACGACAACAGGCTACAACGATCATCAGTAACAAATGATGAATGGCAACAACAACGAACGGCCAACAACAACGATGTACAACAATCAACGAAGACAACGGACAACGACGACAAATGACAATGACAGACAACAACGCTGAACAGCAATGACGACCAACGACCGAAGACGAGCGACTGATGCCGACGAAGGTCAATGAACGACAATTTTTACCTGGCCATTGTTTCCAGGTTTGTTGGTGAAGCCAAAGATCAGGTTCAAATGGAGCTTGATGGGAACTGGGGATACAGACAGCGAGTTATCAGCCTAGGTACATTTGAGTAGTTGTTTGTTAGTTATATCTTGCAATGCATTTTTCCATTTTCACAATCTGTATGCCAAAATCAACATTGTTAGTAGATCAGGTAGCTGCTGTAGTCATGAACTACCGAGTGCTACCTCCGAGTATCAGTGGTAAGTGAGATACTACTGGTGTCTACTACAACACAAGGAAAGACTACTGGTGCCTACTACAACACAAGGGAGAACTACCAGAGCAACATATGGGGGGACTTGTATACCAGGCTATTATAACTACTGTGGCTATATAGAACTACTGAATCAAGTTATTTTTTCCTGATGTACCTTCTTGATTCCGACGACAAGGAACACTATAGTTCCAATGGTAAATACATCTGGCTCCTGAAAACCAAGAAAGAAATCAGAGTCTAGCACATCAATGAAACCAAAAACCGTACTATCTTTGTCTTGGATTTGACACTTGCACTACGAGGCCTTGAGGATGAGCTGCCTGAGCAAAGGCCCCAGTTTGTCTTGGTGTGGGCCGCAGAGAGGTTTGCATTGTCACCAATGCTGCAAAGCCTGCCAACCCCTTTGAAGAAGAACTTGCCTTTGATACTTTTGCCATCAGAACACCTCTGGTAGTGAACACAATACATTTACAACAACAAAAAAGTAGATATTCATGTAGAAGAGAAAAAGTTACATCAATTTGTCAAAAAGTTAAAGGATTCAAGCAAGTGGTGAGTCAAAAATTGCTCAGCGCTGAAAAAGTTCCAAATACCTGAACAAACATAGTAGCTAGCCAACTTCAAGTAAGCTATCAGTACAGTCCGCTGTAACACCTCTTTGCCACAAAATAACAGAGGGTGTTTAAATCAATGGGTCACTGAGGGAAGGTTTCAGGGTAGGCGAATGGAAGCAGGTGTATGATCTAGTGTGTCATCTTCCTGTACAACCTCAAAGGCAGTAAAAAACTCTGTCCACTCATGTTGACCCCACCCCAAGATATTGGCCACATCAGGACGGCCTTGCAGCAGGTGAAAACGGAGCAACACAGATTGGAACACATCAAGACCAGCTAGCCTTTCCCGCAAATTGCCCACTTGCTGGTTACGTATGGCTGGCAAGATAAATTCCTTGACCAGCTTGCGAAGGCACTTATTCCTGCGATCATTCAACCGTTCAGAGTGATCCAGCCATGAGTTAACAACAGTGAAGAGGCGGTCCAAAATGGCCAGGAGCCCCGTTGGAGGTTGTGGGTTATTGATGAGGGCCAGGGCAAGGGTCCACATTCGGTTATCTTCATCTTCCTGATCTAATTGTGTTTCAAGCTGCCAAACAGAACAATTCAAAAGTTGAAGTTCAGTCTCTGTAAACATATCATTCATGAGAATTTGCCAATTAAGTAGAAATTGGGCCAATGAACGTACCTGCAGTAAGATCAGGAAGCTGCCAGAAGGGTGGACATTTGACTCTATGCTGGCTAACTAGCTGCCTGGAATTGATGGATGTGTTCCCCTGACCCATCACTCTGATATATAGCTCTATTTGATGGAGAATGAGGTCAGGCCAACCGATAGGTATGTTTAGACGCTCAAAGATTTTCGCAGATGCGAGCTCGGTAAGCAAGGGGCTCTCATTGTCGAAAGTAGGTAGCGGATCGTGGTCATTATCATTCATGACACGGAACACACGCCATGCATTTATAGGCCGTAGGTCCTGCAAAGAAAGGTAGATCGATCGCACGGCAGTAAGGTTTGCGGTCAACGTTTTGCCAATCCAAGCTAGGCAGTGAAGGAGTAGATTGGGATCATTGCAGTAAAAAAGGTCGTGCGTAAACCAATCCTCACTTTTGAACGAATACGAGGGCCTGATGAAGGAAAGGACGCCCGTCAATAATTTGAAGAAAGCCCACGACTGAGGAGATTTGTAGGCGCATGGGGAAGCCTGTCGCCAGGACGGATGGAGACTGGCAGATACGCTCTGCAGGGCGGGCAAAATGGTTGTTGCAGAAAGAAAGAGAAAGGTAAGTCCAACCACCACGGCGACGGGAATGGCAACCCCACTGTGGATTGAACTCAAAAATTCAAGGAGTCCAGCGAAAAACAGAACGAGGGCGGCCTGTAACAGGAGGGGGAGAGCGGAGAGTATGCTTGGCACGTGCCACTTGTTTATGCCCTCGTGACGAACTTGACGTAGCTTTAGCGCTTGTTCAGGAGGAAAAGACGGACGATGTTGAAACTCCCTTATCCACTGAAGGCAGAGGATGCCAATCAAAACGGTGGTTAAACTGAGCGTCAAGCTGATGAACCAGCAGATATTAACGCGGAGAACAGGGGAAGTGACGGAAAACGCTTTGATAGCTGGTAGTGATTCTACGGTATTTGACGCATTTGCCAGCTGAGCGGAAATTTTGGTGAGGAGTACTGCTGTCTCCCCGGGGTCTTCCTGCAACTTTTTCTGTGATTCGATCGTGAAGGCCGTCACGACTCCAGAGAAAAGACCGGCCTAGGGGATGTAAGAACTGCGTACAAAGAAAACAAGGCGCGGTAAACTCACAAAGATTAACAGATTCTGAATCTCATCTTTCCAAACATTACACATTCCGTCGTCGTATTCACGAGCCAGCACAAGACATTTTTCCAAATGATCCCCATCTTTGGGTATTGGATGTTTAAACCGATCCCCGTATGTCCAGGGCGTGAACTATTCAGCCTTTAACTCTAAAAGCGACGACGTGTTGGTAAAATCGTGTTCTTACTTTCGGGCTGTCGCCTCCCTCGTCAACGCCAATGGCTCCCGTTGCCGCCTGGCTTTGTCGCATTTTGTGAAGTCTATTGTTGACGGGTTGCGAGTCCATTGTCTGTAAGAGGTTGGTAAGAGGGGCCAGCATTACTCACTTGAATAGAAAACGATACATGCCTCGAGGTCGCGTTCCATATCCACCCACGATGTTGGACTCAACTTGAGCGCTTCCGAGTCTTGGTGCGACGCAAATTTCAAGAACCTGAGCGCTTCTCTTGGACATGTTTGCTTGTATGCAAGGTGTCAAGGCACTGCTCGGAACACTGCGGAGCTTTCTGCGTCTTTCATATTTCAGAAAAAGTGGAAAGGAAGAGCGGCTTAGACTTGAAGCTTGAACGTTTGAACGTTTTCCAGCTGACGAACAGTCTGGAGAAAGCTGGGAGAAACTGAAAGATTTGAAGATTCCCCTGTGTTGGACCCTTAGTATTTACAGTTGTTTATTCTGTAAGTTACGACCATGTTCACTTTCCGCCTCAAACCTTAATCCCAAAATGGGAAGTCGCCCTATTTTTAGAAACACACCAGCCTCAGCGATTTTGTCGAAGTCCTGTGGCTCGGCACTGGGTTTATTGGAATACAAGCTATTATATTTCCTTGCAGCCTTCAAAATGTGTTTGAAAAAGAGAGAAGAGGGACAACATTTCCAAGCAGGAATTCTAGTAATTTGCTTGCAACTTATGTAGACATGATGTATCTTGAATAACAATACAAGAGCCGTCGACGCCGCCTTGGACCGTTGAGCTAGGAAACTCATATAAAACACACCTGCAGTTGTGCATTCAACTGCCCTACTAAATCTCGCCCTTCACTTCAGCATTCCACGAGCCGCTTCCCTTCGCTCGACGGTTCCTCAGGCTCGCGACCCACCGCCCGAGGCAAAACGCCGCCCGCGCTGCATCACCCTTCTGGGTGCTTCATTCTATGAAGTTCCATGGAAGTAAATTTCATATTCGAGGCGGCGGGGTGTTGTTGCGAGGATTATGTTGATTCATTGTATTATGGGGGTCTGGGTCGGAAGGAATACTCGCTAGTGACAGTACTAAGTAATGAATATGGGAGAGCCGGCGAAATACCTTTACGAGGGAGGTTGGGGGTAAAGCTGGCGAGCTCCTGTAAGTAGTCGTCGTCGAGTTTGGAATGAGGTTGTAGGGCGAGCACGGACAAACACCGACACCAAACATTGGTTTGTTTGGTGGCTTCCCGTTTTGGGATTAGAGTTTGAGGCGAAATCTCAAATAAAAACTGGCGAAGCCACGAGAGTCATTCTTACTGTATAAGTCACTATAGACAAGATTGAATGGCGAAGCCACAAGTAGAGGATAGTGACTGTATACAGGGAACCAGGTCAGGATGAAGGTTTATCTCGATGAGAGGGATGAAGAACTCACAATAGAATTGTGATCAAAATGTTTTTAAGGCAGAAAGGCGAAGCCTGCAATAATCACTATTCTGGTTGCAAGGTGTCATTACCGTGTTGCAGAGAAGCTTATTAGGACAAGAGGTGAAATATTTCGCAGGAGGAAATTCCGCATGCCGATGTTTACAAAACAGTTTAGGTGCTTGCGCGTGAAACCCGGGAGCTCGATTCGGCGAGGCCGTGAAATGAAATGTACCGACTGCGAATTAGATGAAAACATATACATGTTCTATGTGGAGGTGCGGTGTCGTTGACTCTAAATACGAAATTCTATGTCCTTCCAATCCCGAAATACAGAAAATCAAGAAAACCATTACCACTTCACGTTCAAATTTTACGACCCCAGCACCGTCGACGAACCATTCAACCCACTCCTCTCTCTCGTATGATACTGCCCTCTGGACGAGCAATAATTCACACCCTCCAAATCCATCGCAATCCTGCTCCTCGACTGCACCCCTCGCACCACTTCCTCTCCCTCCTCCTCCCCTTCCTCCCGACTAATCACCACCCCACGCTCAAACCTCCCCACCAAATTCGAATCACTCGCACTCGTCCTACCGCGCATCCCCTCCCCGCCTTCCCCAATCCTCAACTCCGACTCCTCGTACGAAGGAAGCCCGCGCATGCTTGTTAGAGGTGGGACACCACCCAGGAACCCGCGGGCTGCAATGGAGTAGTCTGGTACTTCCGTGAACGCACGGTGAAGGAGCGAAGGGCCGCTGTTCGCAGGGTCGGCGTGCTGCACGGTGTTCACGCGCTGTGGTCCGCCACTTGTGCGCTCGTAGCTGGGGATGGGGTTTAGTGGTGGTATAGCTGATGAGGATGACGATGGGTGTGGATGTTGCAACGTGTTAAATTGAGATGAATGGACCGAATGATGCATATGCGAATGGAATGAACGCGTGAATGGCCCATGATGATGATGCGATTGTTGATGTCCACCACCAAGCGAAGTAAAGGGCTTCATAGTAGCCTTCAGCAAACTCTGCAAATTCCTGCTCGTCTGCATGAACGACTCAGACTGCTGTCTCTCCATGCTCGCCCCAAACCCAGGCGAAAGCCCAGCGGGGGAAGTAGCACCGCTTCCAGAACCATTGCCATGATGGACGGTTGTCGTACGCTCCGGACTCGGTGCACGACTGTGCGGACGACTCGACCACCGACTATGTGACCTCGACCGATCCTCTTCAGGCGACGTGTGCGTAGATTCTATCTCATGCTCCGCCCGCCGCGGAGGCGTATCACTGAGGGATAACAAAAGCTCCGAGTTGACCCAATCCAAGGTCGTCCTGTCCCTCGAGGTGGGCGCATGAGGCAGCTGCGAAAACCTCTCCGAATCAAGCGCGGGAGACGAGTACCCCGACCGCCGTGGTTGTGGATCCGAGTACATGTATATCTCATGCGGCGCCTCTGCCCCAGGAGCGACAGTTGGACTCGTATGATGTGTCACCCATGGGTTGGTCACACGAAGGACTTGGCCTTCTGGGAGGAACATGTTCGCTACACGGTCCCGGATATGCATATTGTAGCTGGGCAGCTCCCTGTCCTCGTCCTCGAGCTCTGAAACCCTATGTGCGACGCCTTCTTCATCGGGATCGTTGGCAGTCAACACACTTAGTACCAGCCGCCGCGTAGCCGCGCTGAAGGCGTGGGCTTCCTCCAGAAGATTGTTGTCAAGGACATAGAGCGGGAGTGAGCACCGTAATTCCGATGTGTGTCCGTCGGGATTGAGAATAAAGATACTCCAGCGAACGCGATGTGTGATATTAATAGGTTCGACGGCGTGTGAAGGGGTTAATGTGGTTGGGAGAGCCACAGATATAAGGGTGACAATGTCATGGTTCTCTACAAGTAGGTCTTCATCCTCCTGGCTTTGTGATGATTGGGAGACGTCATTCGACGAGGACAGAGAGGGTTCGGAGATGGGCGGCAAATGGGTAGCAGGCGTCATGGGAGACTGCCGTGAGGCTTCAACACTCAAGGGTGTCATTGGGGTGCCTGAGCCTGAAGCTGTATTTGACCGGCTCCGACCGTACGTAGACCGCGGTCGGTCTATCGGCACCTCAACGGCTTTTCCATTAACGATATCGTGTCTGGTGGTAGTAATAGTCCGCGTGCTCTCTAGTGGCCCACTGCGAGCGAAGATTTTCGTCGTTTCGTGAATTGAAGTGGTCAAATGGGAGACAGACGTCCCCTTTGACAACGGCGAGAATTTAACAAGGGCCGATAGCTTATCTCCCGCAGCCCAGGCTTTGTGTGGAAGTAGAATGGAGTACATGAGCTTCTCGGGCCAGGAGTTTTCTATTTCAAGAGTTTGTTGGTACTCGAGGGCGCCGTGTGCAAAAGACCGCATGATAACGACTGGCATGAAGGCTTGGAGCCTGGATGACGTCAACCCGGAGCGAGAGGCAATGGCTCGTAGCTTGTACGAGACTGACGCACCGCCAAAGCCGTGGGTAGCGATGCTAGAGGGAAGAGAACCACCAATCTCGAGTTGGAAAGGAAATAAATGGCGGCCTGCTTTGAGGGTGTGACTGTGTTTCCTCTCTCCCTCAAGAAAAGACCAATCATGGGTGCATACGGTATATGATGTAGTTGCAGCATTGTTCAAGAGCCTTAGAATGTATGTCAATCACCAGCGCTTAAACAGAGAACATAAAGACGCACGACTCTGAAGCTGAAGTGGGTAGCCTCGCCTTTCCTTTGAATTGAAGAGTAATCTCTTTCACGGAAGTTGGCTCTGTGAGGAAGAGTAGAACGTTTCCGGAGAGGCGAGTAGACTCAACATCGGGTCCGAGACCTCTCAGTATGAGAAACGGGCTGTCGAGGATAATGTCAAGATATGGTTTGGCTGATTCTCTAGCCATTTCATGGGCGTCGTAATAGGTGGACGAAGCAGCTGGGCGTGGCCCCGCAGCGTCATCCTCGTGATATATAGAACCTCGAGGAGAAGGCGAAGAAGGCCGACTCTGACTCAAAAGGAAAGCCATACTCTGCAAGGGTCAAGGTAGAAGAAAAGGGTGAAAAAACAAGTTCCTCGCCCTTGAAATGCAGACGCTGGACAGTAGCCGGCCGAGAAGAGGCTGGGATCGGATATCCTCCCCTTTTGAGTCCATGGTTGAGAGATGGGCCATATTTCTCCGATCACTTTCAGATTTTCAGATTACTCACCCCTTTTTGGTCCGTTTCAACGCGACTGTCCACAATAAAGACGGAATTTCTATTGCGGTCCGACTGGTGATGGAGTTCTAATCTCGAGCGCTTCCTTCTTCCATATCGTATAGCATGGACAACAAAGCTATGTTCATCGATCATATTTTTAGATTCCAGTGCAGACTGCAATGATCCTCTCTCATTTTTAAAATATCCCGCAGTAGATCTTTTAATCACATTCCTTTTCGCATCTCAGTCCAACAGCAACGCTAGCAAAGCCGTAGAGGACACGTATAGCTCGGCGGAGGGTGCTTTCTGCAAGATTTTCACCTGTTTTCAACATTTCCCGGCCCGCTTCAAATTTCTTCCTTACGAACTGATACCGCGTCGAGAGTCGAAACAAATGGGCCTTGGCATCCCGATCCAAATGACAAAAAATGGGCCCTGTGACGTCGTCGCTATCCACCAACTTGGCAATATCAGGAACATCGTAGTGCTCACCAATCCTTGACCTCGCGACCTTCGCTGACTGGCGTGGCCGAGCTTGCTGACTGGTGTACTTGTCATCTAGTCAAATTACCGGTAATTGCAGGTGCCGGCGAGCGCTAAGGAAGGTGAGCGTTGGTTCGCGTTGATGAATGCATATGCTTATCTTATCATTTTGAAGATCCTACCGGCGCATTACTAGCCTGCAAAATGGCCATGTACCCGAATTTTAAGAGGAAAGATCAAGGAAAGATGGCGAATACCCATATAACGGCGAACATTTGACTGAACTTTCGTTGACAACAAGTCAATTGTTGTTCAATCATTCTGGACAAAGTCTTTTTGGGGCAAGTAAAATACTGTACAACTCCAGGGGTTCGTTATGAATTCTTTCCATTCTTTCTAATCTTCAACTTTGACAGATAGAGAGAGGTAATTTGCCTTTTCGAATTCTATGCTGGATCGCTCATGGCCGCCCATTCAACGATCCGACCTGGGTGTGCTACTTGATTTTAACGATGCAAGTGGTATTCCGGTCCGTATTGAGGGTTCAAACGTTCAAACGTTGATGCATCATGGCTTGGATTTTACAGACTTGTTACAGACCCAGTTGAGTTGTAGGTATACCTTTTGGGGACTCCAACTTCGGTGATATCATCAAGCCGGTGTAGATCAAGTTCGTTCTTGGTTCGTTCCGACACTTCCAAGTTCCCATCTTTTCCGAGTCCTATTTCCTTCAGAACGACAGATACATATTGAATCGATAAATCAACATTCATCCCGCCATTCCAGAAGAAAGAGCATTTTGGCCCTCTGATGATTGATCGCTACGTATACGCACACCGATGGCTACATCTATCCGTTCACAGTCCGTAAATGACGGACTACTAGCCAAGTACGAGGTCGGGATCAAGCTGGCCTGTCTATCTGGAAGGCCTCAGTGAGCACGCTCAATGCAATGATCGACGATCAACGTTCATGCAATTTTGCATATTTAGGGTGGCAAGTCTCTGATCGATAGATTTTGTAGGTTCGCAACTTTTCTCCCGTATAAAGAAAACACCGGTGCGCATCAGATCCAATGCAGTGCCAAAATCCCATCCATACACATGTCAGTCTCTAGCTAACATTGAAAACAGTAAAGAGGATATAGTTCAAATTATACATTCAGCATATTCTTCATTCCACCTCTAAGCCTTATACAGCGCGTCCAAAAAGGCCGTAGCAAGCTGCCCCACCATGTCAGGACCGACTGCGCTCGAGTTGCCCAAACCTGTTGACACAGGAAGAATTAGTTCGTGAGCAAGAAAAATTAGTCCATGAGCAAGCATGACCAGAGATAAATGGAGTCGACGCCTGCAACTGGCTGAAAATAAAGTGATAGAAAAGTGACAAAAAAGGTAAAAATCGCAACCGCCGGAACCCATGTGGAAAATCAAGGTCCAGCCGCAGCGGCGAAAGTGAGCCATTTACGCGCACGATACGTCTCCAGGAACAAGCCGGAACCAAGCTACCGGCGTCAAAACGAACGGAAGCGGAAGATTGTCGGTAAATGGATGCCAAGGGCACGAAGAAGATAACTGAGTTCCATTCTGCACAGGGTACCCTCAAACGACCCTTGTAAGAAGCGCCAACAAAGAGATAAAGATGCAGTGCAAATGGACGTTTCCCAAAATTTAGAACGGACGCAAAGGAACCAACCCCGAAATGCAGGAAGGAGAAAGAAGAAAAAAGATAGAAATGAATGTACGTACCATATACAGCGACCATCGTCCCGCTTCCTGAAGGAGACACCTTGGCTTCCCGGACCGCGTCCTTCAGGTCTGCAATGAACGCGTCGACAACGGGTAGCGTGAGTCGCTTTATTTTCAAAAAATTATAAAGTCGTAAGCGTATTGTTCTAGGTCTGAAAAAGGTAAAGGCGCACCGTGCAAGCAATATGTACCGCAGGAGGATCACTGAGCCCATTCAAATGCCAACCACGCAAACTCATCGCATCCCCAACCTCCAAAACGTTCACGTTCGGGTGCTTGCTGCCAAAGGCGACCACTGATGCTGGCGGGTCACCTAGAACGTATAGTTCGGGAATGGTTTCGGTAATGGCGTTTGCGATGGTACGAGCGGCCAGGACGATGGATCGACATGAGTCGAGGTATCCCCTGTATTTCTTGTTAGTTCTGAGTATTGGGAACGAAAGGAAGATGTACTTGGTTCCCATATGTTGCATTACGGCCCAAGCTCCTGCGATGAGGGCGCCGGGTCTTCGTAGGAAAAAGTTAGCATGTCAATTGAGAGTCGAGGACTCAGCATTGTCGTACCGGGATCCCGAAAGACTTGGGCTGGCATATACACCACCTGCAATATTATTAGGATTGGAGCGGCTGCTCAGCGGGGAAATATGCCCACCTGACCACGTAGGGTTAACGTAGTACTGAAAGCGGCGAAGTTCTGCTGTATGGTACATGATCACCGATGTGCCCTATTTCGAAAAGTATGAGCATTGTATCGCACGGCGGGTTCTCAACATTGATCACCTTCGGCGCGAACCCATACTGTGTAATGAATCGCTTAATGAGGGGGAATACAGAGAGAAAGCACGACAACGCACCTTGTGCGTATCACAACTAACACTTGTGACGCCCTTCAGCCTGAAATCAAATGGAGTGAGTTTATATTTGCCCTTATCATCTCCACCAGACAATCCCGCTAATTCAAGATAGGGGACAATGAAGCTTCCCAAACAACAGTCGACATGCAGTCCAATGTTGTGTTTATGTGCTAAAGCAGCGAGAGCTGAGATGTCGTCTTGGTTCCCATCCGGGAAATTGATACATGAGCCAACAACCATGATGGTGTTGGGATTTCTGTCGAAGAGATGGCATTAATGGTACTCCAAGGAATAGAACCAAGTATCATCATACATTGCACGTTTGAGACGCTTCATATCGACCTTTCGCGTGTAACGGTCAACAGGGATCGTGTGTACTTTGATCTTGAGGTACGCCGCGCCTTTGTCAAAGGCAGCATGCGCAGACGCCGGCACGACCCTACAAATCACAGCATAAACGTCAACTCTCCCTTCCGAATGAAACACAACTTACATTTCGGGCTCTGTGATGCCCTTGACTTTCCTAGCCCAGTCGCGATAGGTCTTGACAGCCATAATGATAGACTCGGTGCCCCCAGACGTCATGGTGCCGGCAGCTCCGTCAGGTGCGTTGTACAGTTTCAAGCACATCGCGACGATCTCGGCTTCCATCTTGCGGACGGCGGGGAAGACGTCGGGGTGTAACGGGTTAGAAACACAGTATCGCTGGTAGGCGGAGACGATGAGTCTCTCAAGGTCCTCACCCCCATCTAACCGAGAAATTGGACCGATGAAGTGCGTGGTGAATGAGAATGGGGAAGCAACGCACGATACACAGCTCCAGAAAGCTTTCCCTCACTCCATACGCCACGCTTCCCACCCAACTCTTCGTCCATCTTGTCCATTTCCGCAATGATCCACTCAAAAGACTTGCCCTCATCTGGAAGGGAAAGGTGGCGAACGACGGTGGCACCTTTCGGAACTAGACGGTTCTCGATGTCTAGCTTTGCCTTGTCCATTTGCGCAGCGACCTTTCTCTGCGTTGCGGGCACGCGTAGAATGAGTCGGATTACATGCTGTTGATGGCGTTAGCAACCATTGGAAGTTGAATGAAAAACCCGTACGTACCTGAGATACCCATATATATAGTTCCTTCAGAGTAGCTGAAACGCCACGAGCTCGAAGATGACGTTGTACTTTGATAGTCTGTGTGATCAGGATATAGAAGAACAGCGCTGACTTTGCGCTGTCAAAGCTGAGGAGATTGGAGAGGGTGAGAGAAGACCGGTATCGTTTCACAGAGTTGGAAACATTTGTTATTGTCGTGGACGCCATCTCAGAGAGAGAGATACGGGAGATGATGGCGGTGAGGAGTCAACGTTTCAACGCGGGAAGTGAGGTATTGGAGGCAACTAGAGACAATGACCCAAGAGTTCTTCTGCCATACCGGAGCAATGCTAAAAGTAGCAGCTATGGCATTCGGTCCCGATGCTGCGTTTCGGTGTTTCACGTGCGATGCGTATCAAACCACGTGGTCACCCGCTCAGAAATATCGTACTGCTATAGATCGCTATCCGAACAGAGGGTTGGACTTCTGAACTTGAAAGATAACCGATGACTGATAATTCCATGAGGTAAAACACCCATGACCTAACCTGCAGCAGCCAGACTCGCTTGCGTATCGGCCATCCGATAGTCCAACAACCAAAAATACGCGTCGTTCATTCATCCAAATTAATAGCTTTCCCAAATTTCGCGTACAAAGTGACCTTGAGATCCTTCATTTCAGCCTCACACTCGTCCGCTTGAGCTGCAAGAGCCGCCACGCGCGCGTCGATGACATTTTGATCTCGTTCGAGGCGCTTTACTGCCTGCGGATGTGGCATGTGGAGGAAAGCCTCGCCGACCTTGTATCTATTGAAAAAAGATGAAATCTTGCAATGGTTTACAAAGATGATTAACGCACAAGACAGGCTGATCCTCATCCGAAAGCTCCAATTCCGTAGCAAGGTCATCGAGGGCCTCCTTCTCTTGCTTCATAAGTAGAGAACAAGTCAGTAAGTAACTGCATCAAATACGATCATATCTGCACACCTTCAGCTCCTCGAGTTTTTCCTGAATACCGCGCGTGCGCGTGTTGATTTTAGAGAAAGTGTTAATGCGCTGCTGATCCTCTGTTGATCAGTCAACATCAACGGCCTGACCATTGGGGGTTTTCTACACACCCCACGTAACCTCTGCAGCGTCGTCATTCTCTTCTTCCTGCTCGAGCTGCGAGGAAAAAACCGTTCATCAACTGACTCACCCTGAGACGACGACAAGAATATTGCGCACCATACGCATCTTGTCTTGTGGTACAAATGACAACGTGCAACTTACCACTGATCAAGTACAGATCAAGGTTACGTAACAAAGCATCAACCCCGTGATGTCATCGCATGACAAAAATAACTCCCTCCGTCTCTGTCACTTACGGTAGGCGGGAGCGCCGCGGTTCAATTTCGAAATTCGATTTCTGATGAACCGAGGTGATGGAACCCTAACCCGACCCATAAATGGTCACGTGACCTACACACATATAGTATTTGGCTGTCTACCAACGCCGCGCGCTTGCTTCGCGTCGCGCAAAACCTCGCCGCTGCTCCACGTACAGGCAGAATTAGAACTAATTATATGTCTATTTAAGCTAATACCTGAAAAATCATGCAATTAAGGTATCTGAATTCATAAAGTAAGCAGAGTCCACTTCAGAATTGAGCAGAAGTTAATTCTCATCATAATTTCCGATTCATATCTTTTGACTCAAGTATGATATGAGAGGGAAATCAGTTTGATAGCAATTGGAGAGAGGGTCCCAGAATTTTCAAGCCTGCTGGGAATGGAACTTTCCAGAGAATGTCTATCTACCATTTAAATATTTAAGTTTCATCTGGAGGGGATTTACTCATAATATTTTGTTACTAAATATACTAATTCAATAACAAGCCACTGCTCATGCCTTGGTGCACATTATAAATTTACTCTCCATATTTTGTTTGCCATCCCCTGGTCATGAGGACACTTAGTCCATTTTCCTCCATGCTTGGTCTTTATGAGTGTATATCAAAGGCTGTTTCTGTGGTATTGGGAGTCAGTATAATTAAATCTTTCTTCTTTCCTGGTACAATCATTCCCCATCATCTCTTGTCTTGTAATATTGATTTATGAATGGTACATCCTACCTTTGTTCTATCAACACATGGTTATTTTTGATGTTGATTTGGAGTCAAATTACTGTAGTTATCTATCTGAAAACTCAAAGCTGATATATTTTATATCTAAAAGTACACAAGAGAATGCATACTTGAAAGAAGTTCCACTTCCTCAAATGTTGAGGTTGCTAAAGCTGCTCAGTAGTGGGTGAGCTTCAAGTTCAAAAATCAACAGCAAAAACTCTGTTACAACTCTGTTCTGGAACAGAAACAATAAATGATTTCCACAGTCCACTGCAAAGTGATGATGAGGCAAGATGGGTATGGTGATCAACAATTGAAATGATACCAGTGGATGTTTTATTTGACAAAGATGGATTGGCAAACCAATCATGCTGCCCTAACACCATGGAGAAGAGCCACTACAGTCATCCACCCCTTAATGATACACCACCCCCATTTGATACACTTTTGACTAGCAAATATCTCGCTCAATACTTGGCTAATTTTTACAAAACAAGTTGTAACAAGTAATACAAACTCATATCTACCACCATACATAGTTTGGATGCAATTGAGGCCGAATTGGCAAAGCTGTGGAGCATACAAAATGGACTGTTTTTTGGAAATAGCCAAATACAGTCACACCCCTCAATGATACACCCATAATCTTAGTTTTTATCTGTGAAATGTGGGTCAAATATTCTGAAATTTGGTATGGTCATAGAAGGGCATTTATCTGAGATTTTCATGTAGTTTTTGTAGAGAAAGGTTGTGCTCAAATCTGTTGAAGTTAATTTCTCATTTTGGGTGTATCATTAGCAGGTGGATGACTGTAGTAAGTATTCTATGCTAATTTGTATACCTTAATAGCAATATTTATGCTTATTTTTTAAGTGTTAGGTTAGATAGGACATATAATTGGTTCGATTCTTCCTGTACGTGGAGCAGCGGCGTGGTTTTGCGCGACGCGAGGCGTTCATAGACATATCTGCATAGGTCACGTGACCTATTTTATGAGTCAAAATCTGCACCTAGGTTGGGGTTAGGGCTCCATCAAAATCAAATTTTGAAATTGAACCGCGGCGCTCCCGCCGACCCTAGTCACTTGCCAGTGTATCTCGCGAGTCTCTTTGTATTACCACATATAAATACTATATTCCTCATCCTAAAACATTTGGGTATGATGAACCTGTCGGGCCACTTCTCAAAAATATACGAAGTCAGTAATTACTGACAGAAAATATTTGAACGGGACTCGACCAAACATTAAGCCTGCCGAGCGTGTCCTAGAAATATTTCAGGGATTCTTTGAGACCGAAGAAGAAAATTTGAAATATTTAAACGTGCTTTTGGTCAACCCGCGCCGTGAAGGTGCGAGTCTAAGCCCGGGGCCCACGACAAGGGAGCACGAGGTAAGCGACGACATAAAGCCGCGCTTACCGCCCCCGGGAATGATTCACTCACCGCGATGCTCGACGTCCTGTGCCGAGTATTTAGTCTTGAGTTCTTCTCCCTCCCTCAACTCTAATAATCCCGAATCTAGATCGAGGGGCTAATTTACCTTTTTCGCGCATCCTCCGTCAGTCCTCTGCTTCACGGAAGGGTACATTAGCATAGGGCTCAAGCGACGAAAGAAGAGATTACTCGCCTCTGGCCAATGTCCGAAATCACTGCATAGATACATTATACCTGAAATCGTATTGAACGAGAATGAGCAAAGAATCCTCATCAGCGATCAAGCACAAACCTAAAATATTGCTCAACTTCCATTCAGCTTGGTCCTGAATTTATACGTGAGTGGAGTTGTTTAATCAATGAATCGAGCAGAACTCGCCTTGTTACAATCCCTGACTGACAACGCGACACTCTTGCGTTCGTCGCGGTTTCCCGATTGCGGGACGCTATAATAAAATAAACAATGGCGATGTCGTTTTTGGTAGTGTTCAATTGGGCGTTCTCATTCGGTGTCGTCTCAAGTGGGTCCCTCTGACGGCAGGGACAACTGAGCGATGCGGATAGTAATAGAGGCGACCTTGAACGCACCTGTCTCTTTGTTCTCAACCACTGTGATATCGTATTGTCGTGTAGTGAAATAAACATGTCGTCCTGAGCAAGTGTGAGCTTCAACGGATGAATTGACAACATGTCAGCCACTCACTCAAAACATAACCGCTTAAGCCCCAAATGTCGAATACCAAAAGAGCGTTGTGTGAAATAAATAATGGCGATGTCGAAGATAGGCAATGTCGGTTTATAGCGTTGGGCGTTGTCGTGTTGTCGATGGTCTTCCGTTGAGTATTAATGTCGAGCCAAAGCGGGCAGCTAAAGAAAGAAGATACGGTCATAGAAGGTCAAATAAATCACAGCGGGATATCAGATAGAGTGAAAAGGGAGGGAGGATGTGGTGGTAAGGAAGAGAGAGAGCGGTCCTACTTTTCGAGGGATTTAATAGAGAAAGCTGTGTGGCCTTGTTGTGGAGAGCGACAACCCACCTTGGTCCAAAAATAGCCTGAGCTTGTTCTATTTATAAAATTGTAACGCACCACAAGAAATTGGATCGCGCAGTAGATAAACAATAACCACTTAGCGCGCCTGCGGGCGCAAAACCCGATACCCAATCTTCCATCACGTTGGTCACAGCAAGTTCCGTTGCTTACACATTTAGTAGTTTCGAGTCAGCATGCTGTATAGTATTGTGTGGTGTACATGGTCAGTCACAGCAATCTATTCATTTCGTTGCACAGATTTATTGTGGGAGATACTACATGTTAACAGAGCAGTTTCATTCAGCGGAACGCAGCAGTTTATGAATTTTGGTTTTCACTGTTACCCGAGTCCTGAGTTGTTAAACTTGTGAGGGATGCCAGTGGTAACTCGGAGTGACCGTACTCGCTACTGAGTACTGAATCACGGCCGCAACTAATCTTTTGGATGAATGTATGATTTTTCATTTCCTACTTTGCCACGTGGAACATCTATATACTCTTTGGACATCTATTTACTCCTTGGACATCATTATATCGATTTCTACCTAACTCGTTAACTTAAAAAAAATTTGATAGTGCATGCCACGCAACACCTCTTTCACGAGAAAAGGCCTCTTAGTAAGTTTGTACGTGCCGCCAAGAACGACCGTCGTACCAAAAGAACAAGGGCACAGAACAAAAGCTTCTACCTAACTTGTCAACTTAAAAAATATGATGGCGTAAGTATCATTGCCACGCAACACCTCTTTCACGAGAAAGGCCTCTGAATAAGTAAAATCCTCGAGGCTGTACACCGCCATCATCGTAAAAGCATTATTGTACGTGCCGCCAAGAACGATCGTCGTACCAAAAGCACAAGGGCACAGAACGAAAGGTTATCGCCAGTGAACCCAAAGAGACGGCAAAAAGAGCCGATGGACAAACAACTGCAAAGGATCCTCAAAAACGCTAAAAATAAGCAAACGACGACGGGAAGGGCCGAGATGGGGTCACGAGGGGAACAAACAAGTACAACTTTGAAAATATTTTCTTTGAGTGAACCCGAGGGTGTAAGAACCCTCTACTAACGTATCGGGTATATTGTGTTTCCTTAGGTAATGTCATTTTTATGTGTATGAGAACAACGCGACGCGTACGCGTTATTATTTATTGGTGATACAGCCGTGGACAAGCAAAGCCCATTTAAAAAATGGAAATTCATGATTGATGGCCGAAAAAGGAATTTGGCGCTGACAATCTTATGGACGTCGACGACCCAGACATATCCTCACTACCATTATCATTCGACCACGAGATGCAGTCTTCTAGCCAAGTTCAGATCTATGTGGTAGTATATTACGGATATGGATGGCATCATGCAACCCGGAACCAGAGAGAAACATCAGGCGTAACCGCGATCATATTGATGTTATACATAGGGAACAGTAGAGGAGAGTTGCTAAGAGATCATATTGACGGTGGCGGTACAAAATGGTACAGAATTGTTCTATGTATATGATGCGAATGCAATAAATAACGGACAAGTGTTGAACGTTGAAACTTTGAAGTTTTTGTCGTAAATCATAAATCCAAAACAACGGCCGCGGATGAGGACAACGAACCAACGAAACAATAGAAAATGCGATAAATTTTCTTTTTAAAATAAACCCCGCAAGCGCATGGAGAGATAAGCAAAAAAGAAGAGTGGCGAAAGAACGAGAATCCATCCTCACGAGTTTTGGCCCGGCGGAGAAAATGGCGGTATAGGCGGCGGCATAGCCCTACCCAAAGAACCCCTCTCATACTCATGCAGCTGCTGGATAAACCCAAAATTCGGGTCCGCAACGAACCTCTTTCCTTTGATATACTGAATCGCTTCGCTTGGAGACCACCCAAACTGTGCCATCAGAAACGCGGCGACGACACTCACGCTCCTGCTTACGCCCTCTATACAATGTACTAGTACCCTAGCTTCCACGTTGCCGCAAAGCGCATCACGGATCCATGCGGTCGTAGTGGGGAGGTGAGCCGCGAGCTCCGCGAACGGCAGGTCGTCCACGCGGATCTGGAGTCGGGCGGGCTGTACTGGGAGCAGGGTGGGTGGTGGATGGAAGATGGTGTCTGGGAGGGTGGAAAGGATATGTGTAATCCTATGTGAGGCGAGGAGCGCTGGGTTTTCGGCGAAGGCAAGGTCGGAGATGAAGAGGCGGGGTATAATTTCGGAGACGCTCCGCGCGGGGCGGCCCAGATGTTGGGTTGGAGAAAAGGGGTTGGCCGAGGGTGGTGAGGCGGATGGCGCGAGCGTCCATTGATGGTGAGGGGGAGGGCGCGAATGATTATGGTTCGGGTGGTTGGAAGACATCGGATGGTGTGAGGAGGGTGGGGTGTTATATACTGGAGCGGTGTTACTCCTGCTTGGATAGGGATAAGAAGAAGGCTGAAAAGGCAGTGTGAGTGGACTATATATGATGCATGACGGTAAGAGAAGGGTGGACGGATTTAAGGTAAGGATAGCGTTTCATCATTGAGATGATAAAGGTATGATGGCGAATATAGAAAAGTTACAACCTCGAATGCCAAACTTTGAACGTTCAAAGGCGGAGTAGAACGTGGAAAAATATACTTTGACTCACCATGATCGCACTTCCGACGTAGGACATAAAACAAATGATAGGCCGTTTATCCGTCGATCAATCCGAACAGGATGAACGCGGGTCCTCTCGCTTTCGAAGATGTAGGCAGGTGGATAGGAAGGAACGTCAGACAGACGCCTGGCAAGGACGAAAGGAGATCTATAAGATATGTTGTAGCTGTGCGCGCCGTGGCTGATGTAAATGGGGATAACGGCCCCCCTAGATTTCCCAGACAGAGGATGCTTGGTCGTCGGAATAGCCAAAGTAAGAATCTCTTTTGAAGTTTTGATAAAGTTGATGGAACGGGAAGATATTTGATGGAGACAAACAGAGGATGATGTCAATGTCGTGCGTCAATCCAGGGTCTCAACTGAGTGATTAGATTGCAGATTGCAGATTGGAGAGGGACCGAGGGAGGGTAGGGGAGGGCGCCCAGCCAGGAGACGAGAGCAAACGGTGTTCCTTTTCTGGAGCCAGCGCTTATATCATAGCCAAAGATGGATTAAACCTCCGAGTCGCAGAAATAGACTTCGTCGTCGCAACACAACCCCGTTCAACAGAAGTCAATCAGGGAAGGTGGGCGCGAGCGGGGAGCGGACGGAGGTTAGCAATCAAGGTGAATGATCCCCAACCCATCAAACCTGTCGTTCTTAAAAGCATATTTCGACAAGGCGCAGTAGTAATACATACCGCTGCATATGTCATACCAAAGTTCAAACCCAAACAACAGCTCGGGAATGATGGAGGAATGGCCGAAGGCGGAACAGAGAGCCAGTGGCAGGTCGGGATCGGAACGCAAGATAGCCAGAGGCTCAAACACCAAACGTTGGGCAGGTGCATGGTGCACGCACTGCCGGCATATGTATTACCAACATGCCAAAGACTGGCTCCGATGTCATTAGTCCAGCCAAAAGGAGGGTTCCCCTCTTGGAGACGCGTTTCGGAAGGGAGTCGAGTGAAAAGAAGTCGTGGAGAAACGATTCGAGCGATCCAGGTACCGGAGGAGGCTTGGCATGATGAAGCGGCTGTGAACCAATTGAATTCCGAAGTATTCCCTACCTGTGGTGCCTCGGGAATGCCGAAACGCGAACGCAAAGCTGTGTGCATTTACCTCACATGCTTTCAATCCTCCTATCAGGCGCTTGTGTATAGACAAGATCCGTCGGTGGGGTGGGAATGGGGATCAGGAAAAAGAAAAATTGCAAAAAAAATTGAGGGAATGCCAGCCTGGCCAGGAAGCAAAACCGGTAAGTATATATCGTGTTGAAGCTGAATGGAGGGGACAAGGACTGGAGAAATTTTGTATAAGAAAGCCTGCATATATTCATTCTACAGAGAGCCAAGCAAAAGACATTATTCTTCAAAAGGATGTCGAAACGACTAGTGACATAACTCGACTTTTGGGGCGGAGGGCATGTATCATATGTAGTGTGGGAGAGAGCTGATCAAAAGAGAGAGAGAGCGTGGTCAGCTCGTGAGAGTATCAGATTCGTGAAATGAAGTGAGGAAGCAAGAAACTGGGCCCGCAGGAGAGAGGAGAAACAGACAACATCTAGATGAGATCACTATAGAGATAAAGGAAAATGATCAGATCTCGGATTATCAGGGACACGTCGTAAGAGCTGCACTCACGCAACATTGAGAGGCATCTCGTCAATCTGGGTGTTGTAGAATTCTGAAATGATATGGTTACAATGATGCGCGCCAGAAAACAAAGAAAAGTCCACTAACGTTCAATATCTCTCAGCATCCTGACATCGTCGGTCGTGACAAAGTTGATGGCAACACCCTTACGTCCAAATCGTCCTCCACGACCGATACGATGGATGTAGTTCTCCCTGTTGGTAGGCAAGTCATAGTTGATGACGAGGGAAACTTGCTGGACGTCGATTCCACGGGCAAGAAGATCAGTCGTAATCAGAACGCGCGATGATCCAGATCGGAACTCCTTCATCAGAACTTCGCGCTGCTTCTGTTCCATGTCACCGTGCTAAGGAAATAGCAACAGGGACGCTGGTCAGTCTGAAAGTTAGTTAGAAGGGAAACAGGTAATGTACCATGGCAGAAACGGTGAATTCCCTGGAATGCATCTTCTCAGTGAGCCAGTCGACCTTCCGCCTAGTGTTGCAGAAGATGACGGCTTGAGTAATGGTGACGGTCTCGTAAAGATCGCACAGGGTGTCAAGTTTCCACTCTTCCTTCTCAACAGCGATGTAGAACTGCTTGATACCCTCGAGAGTCAGTTCATCCCGCTTGACGAGGATTCGGACAGGGTCACGCATGAACTTTTTGGTGACCTCTAGAACGTCAGCGGGCATGGTGGCGGAGAGGAGAACGACTTGGGTGTCCTGGGGGAGGAGTTGGAAGACTACATCCACAGGCCGATTAGTGCCCAAACGAGATCAGGAAACAAATAAACCGACCCTCGTAAATTTGGTCCTTGAACCCACGAGACAACATTTCGTCGGCCTCGTCCAAGCAGAAGATCTTGATGTTGTCGGTCCTCAGTGCACGACGGTTGATCATGTCGAATACACGGCCTGGGGTACCCACAACGACTTGGACACCCTCCTGGAGCTTGGCCATATCCTCGCGGACGTTGGTACCACCAACGCAGGCATGACATTCGATGTTCATATAGTCACCGAGAGCAATGACGACCTTTTGGATTTGCTGGGCCAGCTCGCGGGTAGGTGCGAGAATGAGAGCCTGGGTGCCCTTGATGGACATGTCCAGCTGTCATCCGAGTCAACCAAGGTCAATTGACGAGATGGGGGGCAAACAAGGCTACTTACCTGCTGAAGAATAGAGATAGAGAAGGTGGCGGTCTTGCCAGTTCCCGACTGGGCTTGCGCAATAACGTCGTGGCCCTTCACAACAGGGACGATTGCACGCTGTTGGATAGCAGACGGACGTTCGAAACTGGAGTTGCAGGTTCAGCTATGTTCAGTGAGTAATGAAGAGGTGACGGACCCATAGGCGTAAATTCCTCGGAGAAGTTCCGGCTTCAGATCCATGTTATCGAAACTAGGCAATGACGAGAAGCAATCAGTGTCGTTGTAGCACTATCGGGATATATCAAGGCTTACTTGTCGACGACCTGGTCCCAATTGGACTCGATCTCGTTTTCAGGGACATCCTGAAGTTGTTCTTCTCTGGAGGTAAAAGTGAAAAAAATGAGGGTTGGCCATGGGAGAAAAAAGTGGGTACTGACGCTGACATGAATAAGTTGTAGTGTTATCTCCAAGTGTCGACTGCTAGTGTCGACTTTGTCTTGGAAATGAAGGAGATTGCTCAGAAACTGAGAAAGTGTTGTGTTATAGATCGATGGGGTTGTGCTATGAGCAGTGGGCAAAACGATTCACAAAACATTTTTCTGCCCTCTCGCCGGCATGTGCCGAACTCTTTTCAAACTCAGCTGCCTTATACGGGCCCGAGGTTCAGTCATGAAGAATCTTCTTGTGCTCCATCTCTGACTCGCATAACCCTTATTTCGTTATTCTGAGGGTTTGTTCCGAAACGAAAGCGCCAAAATGACTATCATTGTGTTTCAGTCCAACGGCCAAAGCGCAAAGCAACTCAGCGTGACCCAGCATGACTCTCTTGGCAAGTCTAAGGTACTCAGAATTGCACAACGTTGGTCCTTGGAAATTACTCCTCGACGCAGCCGATGTTATTGAGCAGCGGCAGAGCGCTAACGCACTGCATCGCCCCACACCAAACTCTGGGGCAGTACGATGGTGTCGTACTACGGAAGCGCTGCAACGATAACTCTATTCAATCCTGCGACCACTGGTACACCTAGTCCGTCATTGACGACGAAACTTGGTACAACCGTTAGCTTTGGGCTTCAGGCCACTCGAATGATCCGGTCTGTCCGTCCAGGCATCATTCCATCAACTCTTTAGCTTTTTGCTGAACGATGAAACCGCCAGTCAAAGGAAATTCTGTACGGTTTGTTGCAGGATTAGGGTAGCCATCTGTAACAAACCTTTTTTCATGAACTGCATAAGGCGATTGTGAGCGTTACCACAGAACGTGGGCTCGTTATCCTCGACGAAGGCCCGCCAAGAACTGGTTACTCCTCCACCTCTTCATGATCAGTTCGGTGACGAGCTTCCATCCACCCCTCACCTCGGAAAACGAAAGGGAACAGAGGAAAGAATCCGCAGACAGAGACTCGTATGACAGTGTTAATGAAGAGTGGAAATCAGAACTCGATGAAAGCCTTGGGCATGGTACCGCTCAAAAAGTTGGAACTGCAGCTTTTGATCTTGCGGAACTTCATCACACTACGCTTGAAGGCACTGGGTAGAGTTGCTGCGAGCATTGTAAGGATATTGCGTGGCAGAGAAAATCTCGACTGTACCACCAAAGCGATGCTTCAGGATGTTTGCGTAGCGCGACCGTAAGATTCGCATGACCTTTCCACAGAAAAAAATGACGAAACTTCGAGGGATGAGAAAGATGGGTATATTTATTACTCTGCGAAGTGACCCAGGAGACAAAGGCATTAAAGAAAGTAGGGTATACAATACATCCACCCCATAGTCACGAATAAACCGAAAACATTATCTATGTACGCGCACAATTTTAACAAAGACACCCAAAAAATAATCAAACGCATACCTTGATTAATAGATGACAGGACCGATCGTTGAAGTGGGAGATTATTCCAGTCGGCTGATTGCCAAACCATAATCACTTCTCCACTACCCACTAAGTGCGAGAAATCATTAGGAAGATGGACTTCTCGAGAGCAATCAAATCATACCTTGACCATCGAATAACACTCGACACCAGTTGCGCTCTCGCCAGACGCAGGAATGCCCGTCTTGTCAACCTTGCCTTTTCCTAGCTTCAGAGTGCTAACGATCTAAGACTTCTCTTAGCGTGGTCACGGAAGTAGAACGACGGACGGAGCAAACCTCGAATCCAAGGTGAAGATATTGATCTCTCGACTTTGAGGTGGTCGATTCGAGGGTGAATATAGAATTGGGAGCATGTGCGAATGCTTCCCGAACGAGACTCGACATCATTCCTACAAGCAAGCAAGAACATGAATGAGATCACAAGTCGAGTATTATCATATACTGACCTTGTCCTTGGTATTCGGGGTCGGTCATTATAAGTTGTAGGTACCAAGAAGCGTCGGGCGATTCCTTTGAACCCTTTCCCTTGTACCCCTTCTCTAATGCAGCGTGGCTGGAGTCGAGATACTCAAATCCTATGCGCTGCAGTTACATTAGCCACGACTATGAGCCTAGAAAGAACGAGAGTCGAACAGACCATTAACCCAGCCAAACCCCACCGCTTCAGTATCGGTATCACCCCAGCGCGAATGAGAGTTGGGACTTTCCAAAGAGCCAGACGTTTGTTCGGGGGAAGCCAGAATGCGGCTGCGACGACTTTATCTTCTTCCCCTGCGTTCTTGGACAACGCGACGGTGATACGGCCTCCACTCAGAGTGCAGGTGTTTAACAAGAATCGGAGGAAACGTCGTAGGTTTTCGCTTTCTTTCACGTCCGTGACGGGATCTAGGTGCTGTTTGGGGAGGGCATTAGTGTATGGTCAGCGCTACGGTTGGAAAAGACTCACCTTGCGGAGGCTACCAAAGTAGTGGAAAACTGGGTCGCCCACGAAAGCTGCATGAGCGAGAGTCGTGATTCTGTCGTAGTCTTCTGGGGTGGCGAGGCGGATCGTGGGCTTTGGAGGAGTGGTCGTTTCTGGAGTTGACATGTCTGTCAAATGTTGAATGAGTTGTTCTTTGCGTGGTGGGGAGAAGCAGCATATTTTGAAGTGGTTTCAAGAGAAACGACCGGCTTGCCGGCATCAAGCAGGGGAACGGTCACGATCCTCGAAAAATATTTGTTGCAACCTTCCCTCAGTGTCATGACGAGTGGGCCTCCTCCTTGGGCAGCGGAATCTTCTGGATTTCGTGAAAATCAAAGCCCCACCTCGTCATCGTCGTTCTCGACCGCCCCAACAACCTTCTCGACCAGCACAACTCAACTAACCTCCGGGGTCCAACCATATTCCACACATTCATGGAGGACCACTCTGCCAGCATATCCAGGGCCTACTGTCTACCCACTCACCACACAACCTCTGAATCCGCAGACACATATATCTTATTACCAGCCAGAAAACTACCAGCCACAAACGCACTATGGTCAACAGCACCAGTATCAGGCATATCCGCCTCCACCAATACCTGCGATAGCTCCAGTAACAAAACCACCATCTCCGTCTCCATCCCCGCCTCCACCTGAGCCAATCAAGCACTGGGACAAAGCACTCAGAGGCTTCCTTACACAAGCCGGTCTCACTCAAGCCCTCTGGGGATTTGAGGATGACATGATCGTGCTAAATCCCATTTGGGAGAAAGAGAAGATTCCAGGTGCGCTTCTGGAACTGGTGAAGAACCTTAGCGTGCGTTGTCTTTTTTAGTTTGTTGTGCGCGCATTCGGTTAACGATATGACCTCAGGAAGTCAAGGAATACCCAACTGATCAAGGGGACGACGTAAACATGCCAACGCCTGAAGAGACTGGGCCTTCGTTGGAAGAGAGGAAGCTAGAATACGTCCACCTAGCTAACGGTGCCCAACCACGATCGCAGACGTCAGTAAGTCTTATCATCCCCACCTCTCCCCTCCTACTCAAATGTAAATGAAGATCAACAAATCCATATCCGCGTTCCTCGCAAAAAACCGCGCTCGGAACAACGCTTCGAACCGTTCCGAATTTTTATACACCCTCGCCGAGCAGAAGAAACGCAGGTTGCTTGATGACCAAAACGCAGGGGATGCGGCTCACATATCTTCTTGCGCACGCACAGACGCAAAGCCTGTCGATCGTGATTTGCAGATGAAATATGATATTGCGAAAAATGAGGGACCGTTGAGGAGGACGGTTAAAGCGGCCGTTGGTGAGGAGAGTTCTGCTGCTGAAGAGAGGAAGGAGGAGAAGAAGAAGAATGCTGTCGTTATTCCAGACCAAGATCTGGAAGATCCGGAACGCGCTACAGCTGCTCGGTATCCAGCCATCGACGAACGGCTCGAAAATGTTGAGACTCACCTCGCTATTCGCTATGGTTGGTACACATCCATCCATCCTGTTTGTCATGCCAGGTTTTAATCTAACTCCTTGCACCTTGTAGTACCATCGCCACCCCGAACCCTGGTCGCCCGACTCAAGTTCCTCGAGGACCACATCATACAACTCGAAAAGGAGTACCCACCATGGGCAGCACTCCACTTCAATCAACCAAACAGAGGTGTAAGTCGTTCCGCACCCCCGCCTTCCGACCTATCTACTCACTCTTCACGTATTCAGTGGCCCCCACCGCCTCGAGCAACACCCATCATCGTTCCTCCACACCTACGGCCCAAAGAACTCCCGGATCCTCCCCCTCCAACGACGACGGTGAACATGGGCAACGTTGCTCCGATACAAGGTCCTGCCGGTGGTGGTGCGGTGCCGAAGGCGAGGGGCAAACAGTCGAGTTTGCAACGTGCGGTTTTGGAAAAGCTGGAGATTCAGCAGGCGATGAGTGATTTTGGGAAAGGGAAAGGTGGGAGCGGGTAGCTGATCGGTAAAGCTTCCAGACTTTGTCAAGCTTCAACCGTGATGATACAACACTACACACTACCATATTGTAGCGGACGCATGCTACGAAGTGGTGCAACAGAGACTATCAAAATTCTTTTGAGGATGACATGGAGGAATTTGGTCGGCTCGAAATTCTGGAGTAATGCCTCCAGTTCAAACATACCGCTGCTAAGTAGCGCACCCATAAACGCGCACCCGAAATTCAGCTCCGCCTATGTTTCCGTCAAAAGTAAAATATCAGTATCCTAATCCCACCCTTTCTTTGCAGATTATTCATGCTTTGTTCTTTCTCAAATACATACGAGACCATCACTCGTTCAACTTAATCACGGGAATCTATTGAACGACTTGTCTTTAATTTACTCAGAAGGGACTTGGCTTGAGTCTAGTTTTCGGTTTGGCCGGTCGTATTTTTCGCCAGTTCGAGCACTGGCGGGTAGTTGAAGACTGAGATAGGTGGTTGATGTGCTTGCGGGCATGGACTAGTACTCGAGCCTTGCGATTGGGTGGGCGGACGTTGTTAAGTTTGTCAAACTTACGTGCTGCCCACTGAGTCGTAGCTCGCATCCATATCCATTGGTCTGCGACGCCTTGCTACTATTCAAAGTTGTTGAGATCCTCAGGTTTTGACACCGTTTCGTCGAGGACTGGAGTAGAACCACCGTCCGGAGGGGCATGAAGGTCAAGGTCAAGGGGGTGATGGTGGAGCCAAGGGGGCGCCGCCCGAACAAATTACATAGAAGCCGAAACCTTTTGTAGAAATGATCAAAGCCATAACGAAAACGTAGAATGCATAGAGGAGCGAAGTACTGCTATATCTGAATGCGAACAAAACCGATCTTGTCAAAATCACGTCGTACTACGATTGCGAGACGGTTCAAGTTGAGTTCGAATTTTCATTTCTTCCTCCATTTGCTCTAGCCTCGCTCCATACCCATGTTTTTTTTTTGTGAATGAAATCAGTGTGGTTCATCAGCAAGATCACGATTTACTTGTCTACTTTTTCCCACTTTTTGACTTCCCACAAGTCAAAAAGCTGGAAAGTTGGAAATATATCTATCGGAATAAAACCCATGCCGACCTGAATGCATTCAAAAATACTTGCTTTTCAGGGTACTGAGCCTGGCTTTTTGTATTTGCGGCTTTTCTGCTTTTTACGGCTTTTTGTCGGCTTTTTCCGGCTTTTTCCGGCTTCTACAAGTAGAAAAAGTAAAACGCGAAAGTACCGATGTTACGGTCGGATTTGAGGTACTTACACAAAAGCTGTTTCGTTGCAAGAGATATGGAGGACAAGTAAATGTTCTTCTGTCTAGTCACGGATGAAATATACCTATTTTACACTCTAAAGTAACAATGCGATCTAATTTGTTGAGTCTCATTACATTACTTGTGCATATTAGAAAACTTGAATAGGCGTGTGTGGTCTATTCCCTGATGTATCAAAGCGTACCATACTGTCCATCTGTTGGGGTCGGATTTCTGGTTTGCTAGCATCCAGGTCAACGTGTAGGTCTGTAAGACCATCGGTATTCGATAGTTGTTACCTTTTCATATATTGTCGAATATGAAGCAGGACCCTACTCGTCAACAGTGTATGGAGTACGCGTTCCACACTTCACTTGATCAGTTATTTTGCATGGAGAGGGAGAACATAAACGTACGAAAAAAGAACCGCAACATACTCTGGCTGCAGAAATTTAGTGGTTAGTCTGGTTCTCACACAAAGACACAATGTATAGACTTACAGCGAGCACGCACACGACTACGACATTGACTATTGAAAGGGCTATTGCTCCTTTAGCACATAATGAATGCACCGTGCCAACCATCACTTACCAAAAAGGTAGATATACATTATTATCCCTATGTTTGAAGGCAATTTAGATACATCTCTTTCAGTGAAATTCAATACCTAACCTTCACGATATATGACGTGATATAGATCAATGTTCCCTCCTCGCCGATCTGAGAGGGCGGCTTATGAGCATACAGAAAACTAAATCATTCATGTTTCTTACAGGCAGCGATTCCAGGAATTATCATCAAGACCAGTATTACTGGGAGACAATTAGTTGCAGGTGCTGTACACCAATGTAAAAATAAATGCTTACCAGCTTCGTAAATCATTAATACAACCCAATCCAAGTACACGATGCGATTTCCGCTGGTGGGAAAGCAACCGACATATTCTGGATATGGCTTTGTACTAACTTGACATGGGGTGTCAGTTGCGGTGAGATGTTAAGTATGACAGATGGTGGACACACATTGTAGGCCGCGAAGGAATAAATTCGTCACATATATCTCCGCCACAGTCTTGAGCGTAAATAGGGATAACAGAAAGACACCCAGACGTAGATCTCGTTCCCATACTGCCCATGCGCGCAGGGTCAATATTACTAGGAACATCCACCATTAGGCACGTCGCATAGTATAAAATGAAGAGAATTCGCACTTTCAGACAAGATAAAGCCAAAAATCATCAACCCTACGATACGGTGAGCCAAACGACCACGCGTTAAAGAGAATGCGTACATCCTCGCATCGTTTCAACAATATGGCAATCATATGGGTCGATATTTACCACCAACTGGTCTAGAAGGGAAAATCCTGAAATATTGTAAAGAGAGAGGTATCCATGTACTCACGAGTTAGACAGAGAAAAACCGTGTCACAGAAAGGCAAGTATCGCTGAACGATATAAAGCACTTTCATAAACCCCCATGGCGACGACCACACAAACTCAAACTCCATCCCAAACGTCAGTGAGCAATCGTATACCAACAACATCGCCGCCGCAACTGCGAAGACTGATCAGCTTTATAAGCTCGAAATCTTCCTATGCGGCTTACCATCGAGAGACTGGTTTTCTTTCGTTAATGGGGAAGGAGGACTTTATAAAGGTGTAGAGACGCACCGTAGCAAGTCGTTGTGCAGCCACATAATGTATGAGCTCACTGAGCAGCGTACGCGTCATGTCTAAAATGATGTGGAATCGGAAGCGTGAGGGCGGAGAAGGGGTTCTGCTCAGTGCCTTGACATGATATAATTTATTAGAAGAAGTGGGGACCGGAATTAAAACTGCAAACATTGCTGTGTGTCCACTATTTTTGACACTGGGAGAAGATGTGTATCAAGGGCCAAGATGCCAATCCCATGTCCAAGGGCGAGCGTATAATAAGGGCCAGAAAGCGGAGAGTGAAAACCGTCCGCACAAAGCCCCCGTGCATGTGCTACGAGCTGGCGGTTGTCCGAAGTTGTCCGACCGTTCCATATAATCGACATTTATGTCGTACCTCGTGTCCATCGAGGAATAAGTCATTCCGGAAAGAAGGAGTTCCTTGGGAGTTCCTGTACGAATCAGAGGTAGGAAAATGGAGGTAGAATCTCAATTGCGGGTGTCGCGGTCTCGGTAATTCTGCAATTGTGCGTATGTAAGTGCCGGACGTTTTCTGGCCTTGTGCTTCAACCCTTCCTGAGACAGTTGTTTGATGTAAGTATCCCCGACTCTGGAACAGAGAGGGTTCTGTCAGAACCAACGTCGAAGTCACTCAATTAGGACTGCGCACCTCCATCCTTTCAATGCGAGTGCACTCCCCCACCTTTGCACCTTATCGACTGTGGTCTGGGTGATCCTGGACCCGCTTTCGTCACATTTGATATAAGTAGATAGAGTGGCGAGCTGAAAATTTGAAAGGATGCGGGAAATTTTATTATACGGTGGAGATGGCTAGTGTGAAATTGTGGAGTATCTTCGGACGCGAATGCACGCACGGTAGATGATGAGGCATTCTAAAGCTCTTGCCAACCAGCTCTTCTCCACTTCATCGCAAAGGTGTTTGAGCATATCAGCTCCGACTGAGTTCCTTGGCTTTGCTTCCCTTTCTACCTTGCGTTGTCGTTCTCTTATGTGCCGCCACCAAAACTTGCCCGCCCGGCCTCCCGCTTCCCCATGCCTCCGTTAGTATTATATACTGATAATTCTTTGCCAGTTTCGGTCAAGTTTCGGTCTCCGTGACTTCATTTACGAGTGCCTTGCTTCTAAAGCAGTACAAGACTGCATACCGCAGACTTTTACTGGTACGACAATTGGAGTCCCAGCAAAACTTTCCGGCCTCGAATTCTGTTGCTCTGACACCATCTGCGAACTCCCACTGGCTCGGGTACCCGCCCGAAACTATTTTTGACAAGACGGAGGAAAACCCATCACTCTTGTGCTACTCATTCCTTTGTGTTTGTCCGCACTTCTCCCTTTTTCCTTCTATGTTCACGAGTTTCCTTATCACCTTGTATCCATTCGATCTCTTCCCTCGACTGACGGACGACCTCCTTCTTTACTCAGGTTCTGGTTCCACAGAAGCAGTGCAATCTCCAGCCGGTGACCGCACCGTCTTTTTTTTTCCCCCGCCACCATGACCCACACAACTCCCTTCATGCACCTGCTCACGAAAAATATACTTCCAGTACCAATTTCGTGGATCAGCTTCGCCTCTTCGTCAGTGGCCGCAAACAAGCCTCTCGTACAGCAATCGACTAATCGGTTGCGCCCAGCCGTGTGGCTGTCTGATCGTTCTCTTCTACCGAAGCTCAGAGCTACTCGATATGGACGGCCCACTCAGTCCTTGGCGATTTCCATTTTTCCTACGTCCGACGTGTTACTACGTACGCAGCACCCAACTACCCCATTCCCTGCTCGTACTACAAGCAATTTTCATCTTCTGTCTCCCGTTGACATTAGACAGAGCTTTGATACTGCGCAAATTCACTGTCGACGCAGAGCAACGGTTTGTCGCCTAGTCACGATGAACGTCCACCCGGTTCTTTTGAATGATCAGAATAATTGCATATTGATCTGACTAATTATACATGAAGTACTATTACTGAAAGGTGCGACAATGCGACGATCGCACGATAGAGTCGGGTCGACAGAGCGATAAAATCGGATGTTGAAGGACCAGCTCCAATCGCACCTGGAGGAGCTGCACAGTCATCGAGCTGATGATAGACAGCGATCCTCTTTCGCTGTCAACTCCACCACCCAGCTACAAACACACAAGTGTACAGACCATGCGGTCCGCATCGTCGCTTTGCTAAATTCGCATCCTTTTCTGCACCATTGACACCCTGCACCTCCTCAGTGCCTTGGTGCAGGTTTTCAACCCTCCCCATCGCTCGTGACCCATACGACGAATGGATCTCAACATCACGAGTGACACAACCTTCCTCCTACAACGCATGAGGTTTCAAGCACATCTCGGTCTGGAACGTCGACTTGGAGCTCGGCCGTATCAAATGTAAAATCCCCTCTTCTGTAGGCTCCATGATTCTACGATTGGCTCGAGGCCCGTAAAGATCACTCGGCTTGAGTATAAATTCCCCTTGTGTCCAAAGGAAGGTGAACTCAAAAATCTTGAGTTCTATGTAGATCGGTTCACATAAACCGCTTGCCTCTCCAACGACATCATACAAGGAACATCCCATGTCCTTTCTCCCAATCTATCTCAGGCAATCTTTCGTTCCCACGAAAGGTGACATGGCCTGCATCCTGCCGCGCAAAGAGAGGAGGGAGACGTGGAAGAGTGGCTTTCTTCTCGCATTTGCGGTGTGGTACTAAAGTCTCGTTGGTAGCAGGAAGTTCCGCCTTGGGTTGGCTGGGATCGTGTGCAGTAAGGATTTCTTGAAGAAGGGGGGTAGCGGTGGGTGTTTGAGGTTGCGTTAGCTCTGGTTGTGATGGGGAGTGTGCGGTTGGCGGTGCAGGTATCCTTCTTGAGGTCTTGCATCCTGTGCAGGTGTATACGACACTATGTCCGTGTGAGGAGGATCCTGAAGATAATAGAAACGATAAGATTGGTGCGAGCGGCAAACATAATCGATGAGAAACCTACTCTTCACGCGAACAAAGGCCGTGGATCCGGGAACGAGGACGACATTACATCCTTTACATAACGTGCGTTTTATCGATGGATCCCTGCATAATGGTCTGAGTAACTCGGTCCTAATGAAGTTATTGAAATGGTGTAACCTACATCTTGACGGTCGTTTTCTGCCCGACGACCTTCAGTGCGTGAACGTAGCTCCGCGCGAGATCGTTCACGGTTTTCTTTCGTCCGATCACGCGTCTCCGTTTTCCTTTGGCTGATTTTTGGGGAGATGAGGGTTCGGTTATGGAGCCAGAAGCTTCGCATGGAGGGACGCCAGATTGATCCATAGAGTCTGCAGACGAAGTCGACGAGGTCGAAGCAGAAGTACTGAGACTCTGCAAATAAACACTTGCTTGATACATAAAATTAAGGCGTTGGATAATGTCTCTATTGGCGACACTGTTGATGTTCGGAACGTCGTCTTTTTGTTTCTTTCCCATCTTGCTGAGAAGGAGTGAGTCGGTACTAACTTGGAGAGCAAACAACTGTAAATAATTAGATTCGGTCTCTTTTGATTCTTGAAATCTTTCGCAGTTTCTCCTAAATTTCTCCCAGCTTTCTCTACCTAGACTCACAAGCTCGAAAATTCAAGTCCAAGTTGATCTTTCTCTCAAATTTTCCTGGAAACAAGAAAGATGCAGAAAGCTCCGCCGCGTTTCGCCTGGTGCCTTGACATCTTCCATTTAATCAAACATGTCCTAAAGAAGCGCTCAGGTCAAGCTCAGGTTCTTGAAATTTACGTAGACGCACCCGAGGCACTCAAGTTGAATCCAAACATCGTCGGTTGATATGGAACGCGACCTCGAAGTATGTATCGTTTTCTATTTAAGTGAGTAATACTGACCCCTCTGAAAGGACTCGCAACCCGTCAATGATGCACCGCGTAAAACGCGACAAAGCCTAGGGGAGCAGGCGACCACGCCAACCATTGACGTGGACAAGGGAGGCGACGGCCCGAAAGTAAGAACACTATTTCGCCGATACGTCGTCGCTTCTAGAGTTGAAGGCTCGATAGGTCAGGCCTTGGACAATCGGGGATCCGTTCCAACATCCAATTCCCAAAGACGGGGATCATTGGGAAAAGTGTCTTGGGCTAGCTCGTGAATACGACGACGGAATGTGTGATGTTTGGAAAGATGAGATTCAGAATCTGTTGATCTTTGTGAGTTTACCGCGCCTCGTCTTCTTTGTACGCGGTCCTTACATCCCCTAGGCCGGTCTTTTCTCTGGAGTCGTGACAGCTTTTACGATCGAATCACAGAAAAAGTTGCAAGAAGACCCTAAAGAGACAACAGTACTCCTCCTCACCAAAATTTCCGCTCAGCTGGCCAATGTATCAAATACCATAGGATCATTACCAGCCATTGAACCGTTTTCCGTCACTTCCCCCGTTGTCCGCGTCAATATCTGTTGGTTCATCAGCTTGACGCTCAGTTTAACGACCGTTTTGATTGGTATCCTCTGCCTTCAGTGGTTAAGGGAGTTTCAACGTCGTCCGTCTTTGCCTCATCAAGAAGCGCTACACCTACGTCAAGTTCGATACGAGGGCCTATACAAGTGGCACGTGCCAAACATACTCTCTGCTCTCCCCCTCCTGTTACAGGCCGCCCTCATTCTGTTTTTCGCTGGACTCCTTGACTTTTTGATTTCCATCCACAGTGGGGTTGCCATCCCTGTCGCCGTAGTGGTTGGATTTACCTTTTTCTTCCTTGCTGCAACAACCATTTTGCCCGCCCTACAGAGCGTATCTGCCAGTTTCCATCCGTCCTGGAGACAGGCTGTCCCATGCGCCTACAAATCTCCTCAGTCGTGGGTTTTCTTCAAATTATTGATGGGTATCATTTCCCGCTTCGGACCCTCGCATTTGTACCCCAAAAGTGCGAATTGGTTTGTGCACGACCTTGAATACTGGAAGGGACCAGATCCAGTCCTTCGCAGCCTAGCTTGGATTGGCAATACGTTGACCAAAAACCTTGTTGCTGTGCGATCGATTTACCATTCCTTGGAGGACCTACTGCCTATAAATGCATGGCGTGTGTTCTGTTTAATGGCTGATCATGACCATGATAGGCTACCTGCTTTCAACACTACAAGCCCCTTGCTTACGGAACTCGCATCTGCGAAAATCCTTGAGCATCTCGACATGCCTATCGGCTGGCATGACTTCGTTCTCCATCAAATAGAGTTGTATATCAGAGTGATGGGCCCGGGGAACACATTCATCAACTCCATGCTAGTTGGCCACCACAGAGTAAACTGTCCCCCCTACTGGCTACTTCCTGCTGTTCCTGTCGGTACGTTCGTTGGCCCAATTTCTGCGTAATTGGCGAGTTCTCATGAATGGCACGTTTACAGAGACAGAACTTCAACTTTTGAACTGTTCCGTTTGGCAGCTAGAACGGCAAACGGATCAGGAAGATGACCAAATGTGGACCCTTGCTTTGGCACTCGTCAATAACCCACAACGTCCAACGGAGCTCCTTGTCATTTTCGACCGGCTCTTCACTGCTATTGATAAATGGCTAGATCACCCTGACCGGTTTAATTACAAGCGCACGGATAGCTGCCTTCGGAAGCTGGTCACGGAATTTATTTCGCCAGCCGTACGTAACCAGCAAGTGGGCAGTGTGCAAGAAAGACTAGCTGATCTCACCGTATTCCGATCTGTGTTGCGCCGTCTTTACCGGCTGCGACACCGCGCTGATGTGGCCGATATCTTAAGGCGGAGTCAACGCGAATGGACAGAGTTTATCACTGCCTTTAAGATTGGAGTTGACGACGATACACCGGGTCATACACCTGCTTCCATTCGCCGGCCCCACAACCTTCCCCCAGTGAACGATTGATTTAAATACCTTCTGTTGTTCTCCGTACTTAAGGGCGTGGCATGGATGTGGAGAGTTCCTTTGGGCTTACAACTGACTGTGATAAGTAAGGATATTCGGAAGGTTTTATGATAATAGCTGTAAAACCAAGTAAATCGAGGACGTTTCCGGATTGTCGAAGTGTTGCAAAAAGCGCGGCGATCTTGGGCATTGACGGTGAAGCGAGCGCCAAGCGAGCGTTCCCTGAAGGTTGGTTTCAGGGGCAGGGTTGAAGGGACAGCGCTCTTCGGCTACACGGCCACACGTACACCAGAGACGTGAATTCGTAAGAACAAAATGTTTTTGTGGAGCGGTTAGAGTCCTTGAGCGCTAGCTTGAGCGTTTGAACGTTTACGGTTGGCGCATTTGCGTAGATTGTATCACGTGGACTCAGGTCTTGAGCGCTTGAGCCTGAGTCCACTGTTCTTTTACGCACCGACCACCTTGTGCGTGTCTTTCTCCATATTTCTAGTCTTCGCTGATCCTCTGGGATGGGATATCCACTCACGCAACTTCATACGTCGCAATTTTGATATCAAGCCAGATAACTTTCTGATGGGCATTGGAAAGCGCGGTAATGAATTCAATGCCTTCGCTTTTGGTCTCGCCAAGAAGTTCTGTGACCCCAAGACCCACCTCCACATTCCGTACAGAGAGAACAAGGACTTGACGGGTACTGCGCGGTGCACATCCATCGGTCAACACCCATTTAGGTGTTGAGCAAGTACGTCGTGATGACTTCAAATCTCTTGCTTATGTCCTAATGTACTTCCTCCATGCAGTTCTTCCTTGACAGGGTCTAAAAGTTGCCACAAGAAGCAGAAATACCCCCACCGACCTTCTCTGCCATGGATTCCCAAACGAGTTTGAGATTTTCTTAGACTACACTCGTGCTCTTCGCTTCGACGACCAACCTGACTACTCCTATCTTCACAAACTCTTCCGTGAACTCTTCGTGCACGAGGAGTACCAGTACGACTACGTATTTGACTGGAGCATCCAGCGAGGAGCCCAAGATGACCAAACAGCAGGACCCAGCTCCAAAGCAGGCGGCACAGGAAGGGGCGAGCTTGTTCAAAAGGATAACGAGCATCGTGCTAGTGATAGAAGTGAGCATTGCATGGGACCGAACTAGTTTGGCATCTTGCTAATGTTTTATCCACCCAGGTTACATTTTCACACCAGGTAAGCACAGCAAGCTGCTCCAGAAGCTGCAGGCGAGCAGCGCGGCAATCGTGAAAGGGACGCTGAACTTTGGTAAATGGGCTTGTTGCATATCTGATCTGCCTGTCTCCAGTATACGCATCCCAAGTGCAACTGGTCGATTGGGGGGGGTAGCGGGAGGGTTTCGTCAGCTTGGTTAATGAGTTCAGTGGTTACCTGTGCTCAAAGGAGCTCGTGTGGGGGCCATAGACGAGGGTCTCCCGAGGTTGTCATAGATGCCCCTGTGCCCTGAGATAGCCCTGGAACGATGGTGGCAATCTCCTCTAATCTCCTCCAGCTTAATTACAGCAGTTATACTTGGCGAGATCAGCTGTCGCTCCGACAACTCCAGTGCAGAATGAATCGAACCGAACAGACAACGATTAAGTAGAAGACTTTTACACTGTAATGAGCTGTTGCTAAGATAACCTGAATTCAATAAAACTTGCCTCCGTAGAAAGGATTAACATTCTCCTGGAGGATATTGAAAAGAAAGGTATCAACGCAACACTGAAAGGCATATCACTCAACGAAGATGCACAAAAAACACGCAGGATTGTGGCCAGTATCAACACGTACTCGATATCACTCGGAGACTGAGCAAGGGATCCAAAAGATGGGGAGCACCAGGGAAGCGAGCAAATGTAAATCGGCTGGGAGCGGCCAAGCCATCACTCAGTAAATCCAGTAAATCCACTGGATTTACTGGTAAATCTCTCAGAAATAAGTCCTTAGGTGCACTTATGCATTCATATTTGGACTTTACACCATAGGACTACATAGAAAACTGTGTTCTTCCTAATGTTTGATGACTTGATAGCACCATAGTAGACTGATTTGTTTATATAGTTGTCCTTGCCCACACATGTTGTTTATTCTACCATACATTTTTATCTGTATGTAGTCGAGCGCGAGTCCGACGCGAAGTTTACAACGCGTAGTTTACGACGCGTAGTTGACACGTGAGGCACAAAAGCATGTGACTCATCGTTGAGCGTTCGTTCGCCACCCGTTTTCTCTTTGTCTATCTTTTTCTGCCCAGTGTGTGCATGCTGCATGCTGCTCGCCTCGTCTATGTCGCTTTGGTATATCCGAGCGCCAGCGAGCGAGCAGCTGCTGCTTAGGCCAGGCAGAAATAACTGGGGCTGCAGTTGTTCACCATCTGCACCATGCTGCTCATTCACGGACCCGCTTCATTCTCGACTATACAATGTTGCCAAGTCGAAAACTTTCGGAAAGGAGAGTCCGTAATTAGGAGGTTACATCTTCGACATTTTCCTCCGTCCTCCCTTCTCTAGGCCTCTTAGAAATTATGGGTATCCCTGGCATCTGGAATGTACGACACTCAAATCTTTTGTGGTCCCCCCAAAACTGATTGTCTTTATCAGATTCTGCTGAAAGCAAAGCAATCACGCCCTTTCACTGAGCTCACAGTTTTAGAAGGGTTTGAGGCAAATCGGCGTGGAGCTCGGACCCTCATGATTGGTGTTGACGCAAGGTATAACATTTATATCTCATCTATTCATGAGGGAAGCTAATCCAGTCACTGTCAGCATTTGGCTGAACCAGACACAGTCGATCTTCCATGTACCGGGCATGCATTACCAGGCTGGTGAAAACCCCGAGCTCCGAACCCTTTTCTATCGCCTCGCGTGCTTCCGCAAGCTCCCAATCCACCTTGTTTTCGTTTTTGATGGAGAACACCGTCCGTCGATTAAACGAGGCGTCAATGTTTGCACCAAGGCACATGCGCTGACGAGCTCGTTCCAGGAGTTCATTGAGCAATATGGCTATAGTTTCCATACCGTTGAGCTCATCTCCTGACTTACTTCTCCTTGAGACTAATCGAGGCCCACTTTTAGGCACCCGCAGAGGCAGAAGCAGAACTGGCGGTCCTCAACTCTCACGGGATTATTGATGCCGTCTTAAGCGACGATGCGGATACGCTCCTTTTTGGAGCAACTCATCTCATTCGGAAGTAAGTCTTCACCTCAATATCCTTTCGAACAATTCCATAGCCATTCCCAGCCCCAATGTCAAAGAAGATGGTGATAACATCAATATCTACACGGCTGACGCCATCTGTTCGACCTTGTCCCTCACAAGTGGTGGAATTCTATTACTCGCGATACTCAGTGGAGGTGACTACGATCCGGTGAGCCAGCAGTTGCCGTAATTCCCTTTTCTGTGACTAATTCAGCCTAGGTTGGATTGCAGGGCTGTGGTATGACAACGGCGTACAGCCTTGCTCGTGCTGGCTTTGGTGACGAACTACTGCATGCCACGAAGACCTGCCCGCCACCGGAACTGGAACGGTCTCTTGAGAAATGGCGCAATCGCTTACGCATGGCGCTTCGGTACAATGACGCTGGTCATCTCTCTAGACGCCAGGTTGCCCTTTCAAACAGTGTACCCAATACATTCCCCGACCCCA